TATATATATATATATATATATATATATATATATATATATAATCAATCCTCTGTGTGCAGGTGAAACAGAGGTATTGGTAGACGCTGCTGAAACGCAAAACGGTGAGTCACAATCGAGCGTGATATATGCATTCATGAATCGAACATGTCAATAGTTAACAGCTGTAAAAAACAGCAGTGTGGAAGTGGTCATCACAGTGCACTGATTGAGACATTTGTTGGATTCAGACCGTTTCTGATGCCAATGTCTACAATCACATTGGAATCAATCGTTCGTCTTTGAGCGTACGAGAGTTATCGAAAGACGACGTTCCAAGATTCATCTAAGCTTTACACATCCTTTTCCTACACTTTAATGAGAATTCATTAGTTCTCCATAAGTTGTGTGTTTCCCAATGATGAAAGTATATATACACACACACACACTATTTAGAAAGTGTACACTTTATCGGATCTGTACTCTATGTTATGTTTCATTCACAGATACCCAATTGCATCCACCTCATGAAAATATGTACGATGCCACAAGGTAAGTCTGTTACAATATAGTCTCAAAATGACATAATCCTGGCTCGGGCAGTGGATTTTTGGTGCCATCTAACACGTGTCTACGAACACAGCATCACTATCGAAATACTTTGGTATTTTTTTCGTTCCCATTGTGGATTACGGGATCTGTCAAAGATATGCCGTGTTTATCATACCGGAGTGGTTTGTCCAGACCACTCCAGGTGTTTGCCGCTTGTCTCACGACTGCTCATAGATTGACTAACTACTGAACACATACGTCGGTCATACATGCAGGCTTAAACATGCCTCTCATTGCATACCTGTCAGCGAACTATCTCATGACAACGTGTTCGGTTTGGTAGCTCTTAGCTCACCATGTTCATTGGTCTGAATCACCTGGATCAGTCATCTCTTTCTTTCATTGTTACTTCATCTTATTCAATGGACAGATACAATTTTTTAGGAAGGGAGAACGGGACAATCAAATCATACAAATTATACAACAAATAGAGAATGGGGGAGTTAGGTGATAGTGGTGCAATTTTAATGCACCGATAATAATTGCAGAAGCAACATTATGTGATATCGTAGAGCAACTATATATACATACACACACATATATCATCTACAGAATACAAAAACTTTCCATGATTTGCATGTGAGCTGAATACTGCCAGGTTGAGGAATCCACAATCGGAGCCTTCGGCTAGCCAACGCCTGACTCAAAAGGCAACGGGCGGCGTGCGAAAACCGCCTTCCATTGGGGGCCGGTGTCCAGTTCATCGGATCATACGCTTTTTGGACGGGGTTAAACGTCCAAGGTGCCCAATACATCTCGATGCCTAATTGAGCCGGTGACCACTGCCGCGACCAGGAAGGTGTGCGTGTGGTGTTCTTACGCCTCCTCTGGGTTGGTTTGGAATCAGGGTTTTCGGCCAACTCCCCTCTAGGTGAACTTTCCATTGGTCCACCAACCCGGATGTCGGCTTTTTATCCTTTCACTTTGGTGGGAAAACACCTCTACCCCACGAAAAGGCAGTGAGTAAGATTTCCTCAGCAGAGGCTATTTGAGACGCTTGGTCGTATGGAAGCATTTGGCGAGGTGCAAGGAAAGGGTGAGCAGCCGCAACTCTAGACACCCACGAAAAGTGAAAACGAGAAACGGTTGAACCAGACAATATCTGAGTTCGGAAAGGATCACACAGCCCAGTCTGTTCGAACAGTCTTCTGTGTGAATGGACCATCTCAGAGTATTACCCTAGGTCATTCCCATCGAGATATTATTAACCGTGATCTCTCCAGAAGAGAAGTAGTGACGCGAGACGGGATGCGGTCGGTTGTATATTGGGACAGTGATCGGGTTTTTCAGTTTTCACAGCCATGCATTTTCATGCGCCGATTTTTGTTGCTATCCATTGACTACCCATTTGGATAAAAGAGCAGTGATAGAGTGAAAATGTTCAATAAATTTTGTAAAGTTAGGATATTGACTACGCGTTTTTGAAAAGCTTTAGGCGTAGGATATACAGATTGTCCAGGTCGTGCTGAATTGTAGCGGTCCGATTCGGAAGAAAATTAGCCGCCGCGAAAAATAACCTACCAGCCGTGCAGGCATGTTAGCCGAGTAATCCATAGATTCCAATTTATGATGCAAGATTTGTCGGGTTGGGGGATGGGGGCTGGAATCAAAGATGAATGAATAGTTAAGAAAAACGCATCATACAGACTATACAAAAGAATCTAGAAATGTTTTTTCCCCGTAAAATCAATCTAGGGTTTATAAGTAAATTAGAAAGAAAGATTCATTAGGATTTCAATCATTCTAGGAATGGTGCGCTATGTGAGCTTAAGGTCAGATGGTGTGAAAAGTATAACACAAAGACAAAGCTTGAGAAAACTGATAATGGGGATAAAGATGAACGCCCCTCCCCCGGGCTATCAGAATTTGGACATGCTCAAATCGATTCGTTGATTAGGGTCAACATTACATTCATTGTGTTTTTTAGAACAAAACAGACATTAGGACTGTTAAAAATCGTTGATGTTAAGAGCTTCACCAAATCCTGTGTGATTTTGGCTTAAATCTGTCACGGGTGACCTCGAAGCATGGTAATGTAACCAAAATAAATGAACGCGCGATTGAGCATGTCTTTATTATTACTATATGGTATTAAACTTTCCTTTTATTCACACAGCATTAGAATCCTTGAAGATGATACATAGGAGTTTTCTTTTGATCATGTGACCTAACTCCTACAAATAAGCATCGAATTCGGCTAGAAATTGCTTTTTCCGGAGCTACAAATATTTACTGCCATTTAAGCATCAATTATTTTGTTTTATTATGATCAGTTCCAATACATAGGCCAGTTTATGGTAGCAAATAAGTTGCCACACGTTGCATGGTCCCTTCACTTTAACTCGGGCTGAGATATTTTTTGTACTAAGTATATCCGAGGGAATAAACAACATTAAAAAATCAGTCTTTGGTACAACATTACTGAATAGATGTTTCGATTGGTGGATTTCACTTTCCCAAACTCTTTGTCGGAACCTCCTCCCCCCCCCCCCAATNTCGGCGTTCGCCGGGGTAGTCTTTCTTCCGCGCTAGGGATGCTTCTGCCTGTTTAGCGGGACGAGCAGTCATTCTCCCGCTTATGATCAGCTAATGTACCGTAAAAAAGCAACTGGTCTACGGATGGTGACAAACTTATTCCGAGCAACTACTGATGGGACACACTGAAGGCTAATCCAAGACGGAGTTCAGTCCTGTTGCAGTGTTGCAAACCGGCAAGCTAAGCCCTAGAATTTGGAGTGGCGAACCCCCAAGTTTGGTGTTTTGTATTGAACCGCGCGACAACAAAGCGGCCTACCGACTAGTTATATACACTTCATACTCACCAGTTGATCTAAACTGGCAATAGGCATCATGCAATAGGTTTTCACCATGTGCCACCTTGTACGAAGACCACCAGATCGGTTGGATCGCGTGCTCATCTGCTTGGGGAACACTTCAAACCCAAGCGATCGATCGAACATTTCGGGTGTTAGTGAAATGTTTGCTCAGGCTGTTGTTAAACTTGATCACACAGCTGGTTATAGCCAGATAGAAAACACAATTCACCAACAGAAACACCAGCTCGCCCTTTGATTTTTCACTATTTTTCACTTCATCCACATGACAACTGCATACGGCTAGGGTTAGTCCTCATCACTCGTAAGTAGAGGAGTAGTAGTTGGCAGATTGGACGGTATGAATGGTATGTGGTCACAAAGTGGTTGGAGTGGTTTGTGTTTTTCTTGTATCTGTTCGCTTTTTCCCTAGGTCGGTATCCCGAGGTACTGACTAAATTCAATTGACTGTACTATTTCTGAATCAATTGTTTCGGTTGAACTGGAACAATGTACACATCATCTATAAAAACCTTTTTATTCAATTTTCTGATCGGTTTTTCAGTAGTGGATTCGGTTTCGACGAGATGCCTTCGTCGGATGCTGAAGGTGTTCCGTTGGATGAAGAAATTCCAGGTATGCTATTTGTTGCGATTAGAATGCCTATTTTCAACGTTTCTCTTCACTTGTGTATTTTCTTTTTTCCACTGAACGGTAAATAGGTTCTTTTATCCGATTTTTATCTTAATTGTGGTCATTGGTTATCTTTTGGGGATTTGAGACATTCGGCACAATACAACGGACCCGGAATCGGTTCGACTTTGACTTTCTGTTTTATCACATCTGTTCACTTTACTTCAGTTCATGCAACCGTGACAATTTTAGTTGCTGTCTTTTAAGCTACCCATTTGGCTGAAGGAGTTGAGAGAAAACGTAGAGATTTGGAAGCAGAACCTGATCAAATATATAGAATACAGTCAAAGTAACCTGTGCAGTGTTGATAAACTAACAAGACCACGCGTACGAAACACGCACACACGCACCTTCCTGCTGGTAACAGTGATCACTGGTTTGATTGGGCATCGATATATATTGGCACCACCATAGTGGACCTCTGGTCCCATCCAGTGTTCGTATGATCCGATGAATTGGACGCCGGTCCTCCCATAGATTACGATTTTTACACAACGCCCCACGGGTCAAGCTTTGGCTAACCAAAGGCTCCGGTTGTGAATTCCCCAAGAAAATTCACCTGCTGTAACCTGGACAAACTAGCAGTATGCCACCGCTACTAGCTGATTTCTTTTTACAAAGAATTGATCGACACCTAAATCTGGATGTGAAATATACTAGTGTATAATATATATAATGATAATGTAATAATTATATATATATATGTATGTATATATGTACTGACCACCACATTCAAACGGTGGTCAGATACGAGAATCTAGTTTTGAACGCTTATCGGAGCACTGAATCTGCACTCACTGTGGGCCATGGCACCAAGATACCGGTTAGTGATTCTGCCTCGATCGTTGTCAGGTCTTTTATTTTCACTCGACTATGTATCAACTTACGTGATTCTTGCTGCCGAGGTTTTTTCCAGTATGTGTTGAGTCTAGCCATGAATTGCGGACGCGGAAACGGTTATACCCAGGCTTTGGTGATATACTGTAATCGACCACACTGAATCACTGTGGGATGCACATTACTTTTGCCCAACCCAAAAGCTAAGATTCTACAGTACTAAAGGCAACATTCATCCATAACATAACTTGTTGATTCTGCGCTTCAATATACAAATATTGTGAGGATGGGAAAAAATGAAATAAAGAGGACTGTTCCAAAATTCCTTCAATTCTGGTGAATGAGATAGTTTAAGTATCACTTAATCGACAGGTTTTTGGAGTCACCTATTACAAGTTACTTCTGAACGGTGTTTTACAAGTTTCGAAGAGAGCAAAATCCGCGGTAGGGAACGGCGAAAAAAAAACAAGGACAAGGAAGAGATCACACGAAAAATGAGGAAGTGAATTGAATGAAGAGATGAACAATACAACAAATGGATATATGCAGAACACGATTCATTGGGGGGAGGGGGAGGGGTCAAAGAAACAGCAGACGTGAAAAACCGCCCCGCTCCCACATAACCGTCGATAATTTTCCCCCATGCGTACCATTCCTAGTTCAACAAATAGAAAGAGACCAAGATGTGGACGAGAGAAAAAAAATTAGAACCCAAAACAGAACTATAGATGTGAAATGAATCGATTCAGAGCTAAAATACGGACTAGAAATACAAAAATTACGCCTAACAGATACACACATACCGGAGTTTATTGTTCGATTAAACCTCGTGAAATGCTCCTACACGACCAAGCGTCTCAAATAACCTCTGCTGAGGAAGCCCTACTCAATGCCTCCTCGTGGGGTGGTGTTTTCCCACCAAAGTAAGAGGACAAAAGGTCGACATTTGGGGGGTTATAACAGGGTTGGTGGACCACTGGTAGTTCATTTAGGGGAGTTGGTCAAAAGCCCTGAGTCGAAACCAAGTATGAGGAGGCGTAAACACCTTCCCGGTTGTGGCGGTTGCGGTCACCGGCTCGATTGGGCACCTTGGACGTTTGACCCCGTCCAAAGGGCGTAAGATCCGATGAACTAGACTGCGGTTTTTCCATACTGCCCCGCTGCTTTGCGGGTCAGGCTTTGACTAGCCGAAGGCTCCGGTTGTGGATTCCTCAAGAAAATTCCCCTGCCTTGGCCTGCGCAACCTGGCAGTATTCCTCTCGCATGCAAATGATGGAACGCTTTTCTTTTCATAAAGATTAGTTCACCATGATTTGTTTGGCACACAGTTTGGCGATTCAGACTTGAGGGAACATAAAAGAAAAATTAAATTAAACCGAATCAAACTGTGGTAGCTGCCGGTGCATGTTAGCAACCCTAATCGCTTTCGCTGTTGTAACATGTCATATCCTATGTTGAAACAAACTGCTCATCCCATGGACTGTTGTGAATTAGTGTGTAAGCGGTCGCTGAAACGGTCCGTGTTATGCACTTTGGGAATCACCCATTAATTGTGTGGTTAACTGTTTGACACT